AACAAAGACAAACCCATGCATGAGCAAATCGCCATTGTTTCGGTGCATACTTGGAGATTTTGTGTTCAGGATCTAAGAAGAAGTATTCGTGCCTGGGTCGGTCGGCACCAATTCCCTCGGACGGCGTTCGAATGGCCAATCCCAGCAATCGATCCTCGTTTATACCCAAATACTCACAACAACACAAATAGGCATCACGCACTCGACACTTCAACTGAAATCAGTGGAGCCTTTCATAGGAATTATGTACATCGTTCATATCGGGCAGTTTGAATCAATCCTCACTGATTTGAATCACCGATGATCCGCAGCAATTCGCTTAGAAATGAGCTCATTAAAGTGTCGGAATCATGCAGAAACAGAGCTCATTCAAGGAATAGCTTTCATGAAGTCATTAATACGAGATGGAACCGCAAAAAAGAACCAGTCGATGAATATTTCAAAAAAAAAAACGAGAAACTTCCTAGCAAATACTGCGGACGAGTACAGAATCCCCAGTTTTCATCGTTATTTTTGTGAACATCAATTCAAGATATACTGGACAATGGATATCGTCCAAAATCGGTCATTTCACCAAAGCATAAACAATTTGGCCTTGATTTTAGGAGAGATCAACAAAAATTGCCTTTTGATAAGCATATATTCATGCCGATTGCAATTACAAAGATGCTCATCGACCATTTTAATTATTGTATTGTTTCAGAGTGATTGTTGCTGAATATTGCCGTCATCAATCATTGTGGACAAGTAACTTGCGAATCAAACAGCGCGAAAATTATGAATAGGTGAGTGGAGATCAATTCAGTTGTGACATTGCTAAGCCATATAAATCTTGTGCGTTAAAATATTCAAAAAATATTCCTATAGTTTATAAAAGCTTATTATATGCTTTGAAACGATGTTGTTTGTACCAGTTGGACTGAAAGATCGATCAACTCTTCAAATGTTTGTATCAGGCGATTAACTTTATACCAGGCGATTAACTTTTCCAGATCTTCTTATGTGGAAATAAAGAGCTGACGTTAGTTGACAGTTTAGACGAATGTTTGAGGAGCAGATTGCGGATATAAAGCAGAATTGAATAGGTGGAAGTGAACATGGAATAAAAACAACAGGGACATTCACGACGGATAACTTGAATATAGCAACATTAATGACAATGNGTGATTGTTTCTTTGGTGAGTGTTTGTAGTTGGAGGTATTTGAAGCTGGAAGGCATGGTGATATGTATTGACGGAATAACTCGCACATGCTCGGAATTATAGGCTGGTAGATGACAAAGCGATAGGGTGGAATCGTTGGATTTCGAGGCTGGATACGATCCGGACGGCCCTTGTTCGGACGACGAATGCGATGTGGACAGCCGTGTGCTACTACACGGCGATGAGCCATCCATTGATTTCACACCATCATTATCTAGCATCACTTCTAGAATATTTCAAATTCTTTACAAATTATTCTCATTCACAAATATCATTCGAATATCACACACTGGCGGCGGCTTGCATAGTCTCTAACGCACAAAAAACTCAACTTCGCTTCAACACATCAATTTTGAATCATACGAAGCAAATGGTATTATTATTTGGAACACGAATAATCGGAATTTAGACATCGTCATCAGTCACGAGTAGTGAAATATAAATGAAAATGTTTATCAGTTGCATTCAGTCAACGATGACATTGCGACTTCATTGAAAACATAACTTTTTATGAACAGTTAAACAACACCAAATTTTTATGTAATGCAATTTGCTGAGGAATTTTACGATGCTTGTCGATGAAAAACACGCAAATGACAGTTTGCATTGAGCTGTACGTTTCAGTTGAGGTTCTTTCATGGGCATAGGAAACGTTTTTAACGTTGAAGACAAATTCCATGAAGGAAAGCAATGATAGTGTTAGCAAAAC